TCCCCACCCACCGCCATCCCTTGGGTTCCTCTTTTACGAGCGAATAGTGGGATTGGCCGTCACATTATAACGTCCCGCCGGCTGAAAGGGCGAGCATGTTTGGAGGGATGCGGATTCGAACCCGCGACCCTCAGATTGTGAGTCGAGCGCCTTATCCATCTGGCCATGCCGGGCCGCTCACTATAAGGAATAAAGGCTTTTTTATTCGTTCTATTAAGAGAGATCTTAACTTCATTCTGTCTAACCTGCCATCCAAATGTTTTATGCAGATTTCAGGTTACATACTCATATAGCGTCAAATGAGGTTTTAGAGAAACTTACTGTTTTGAGGTTATAACGAAGTTGGCAGTATAGAGTGCCTTCCTAGGCACCAATTATCATAACAAATATTCCTACATTTAACATATATTAATGAACTACTAGATTTTTGCTTACAAATTTTATGCACTCTTAAGTTACACAGATTATAACATTTACAAAGTATTAATTATCAATACCACAAATTTCACTTTGTTGAACTCAAAAAGACTAAAAAGTATTGTCTAAATACTACTGGCGCTTATGGTAAGCCATAAAAAAATCACACAAAACGCAACTAAGAAATCTTAACTGACAAGGCAGGTTAGTTAACGCAATTTTTATATATGTATTATATATCGCTAGTGCAACCTAAATAGCTTGATTATAAAAAGTAAAACCGAATTTAATCATAAAACTGTAATACTAATCTTGTTTGCCATCATGGAGTTTTTTTCAGGAGCGTCCCTATCAGTTACGGCCATTATGTCAATCGTGCATGCGCATTTTAACAGTCTGTAGGACTACGTTTCAACACACAAAATGGATGACGAACTAGAGAACGAGGTACTATTCCAAACGCTGGTATCCCATCTGAAAATATTCTCTCACGTTGTCTTTAATTTGTCGATGAACTTTTCGTCTGTTTCTCATTTTTTAAAGTACTTGCGTTGGTATGTGTTGAAACCTGAAACGATTGCTCTCGGATTCACCATTTTTGCAGTTTTTCTCCTATGCCACTCTGCCGACCTGTGGTATAAAGTGCTCGTTACTCGTCTTCAACTAGCGGCAAGTCTTAGCGCAGCAACAGGCAAAGGAAATTTCGGTTCTTTTTTGAATGCTCGGAACAAAAATGATCGACTTGCGTGGGAGCTCTCAGAGGGTAGTGCTAGTGTTTATGCGTTACAAGGCCGGCGACCACGGATGGAAGATCGGTTCAGTGTACTTGTGGACAAGAAAAATAACATCTCCTTATATGGCATTTTTGATGGCCACGGAGGCGAGGTAAGCTATTGATGAATGCTTGTCAATGTTATTTGCTTATCAACATTTATGGCAAGCATACGAATATGTTTTAAATTATTAATATTATTCATTTATACATACCAGTTATGATTAACTTTTATATTAGTTTGTGCTTTTGGCTATAATTTATAAAGTTATACATTTCCCTATTCTCTCATAGCAATTCGGTGTGATTTACTGAATTAACTTTTGACAATTTGAGGTAATATTGTTTCGAGGTTTAATTAACTTTTAAGTATAATATGTTGAGATTGAGAGTAAGTCACTCAATAATTCCTTCATCACCAGTCACTTCTGAGACTTACTGTATCATACAACAGCTAATGATTATTTTATATTACGCTGGTTCTAGTTGATATTATATACATTAATTATTGAACATGAAGATGTATATACTAGGCTCACTGTAATAACAGTTAACTAAATTATATTGAATAATATTCTATAGACCTTCAAGTCTTAGGCTATAGCCTAGTGAAGGTCAGAACTTAAACAGCGTGCCCAATATCGTTTAATTTTTCAAGCTTTCTACTTGTAAAATATGGAAAACAAACATTTCTTAAAGATTTTTATAATACTTTAAACTAAGTAATTTTACATATAATATATTTTGGTGGGCTTCATCTATGTTAAAATGATAATGTACAATTTAAGAGAGACAAAGGGATATATGCTAAACCTGTGTAGTTATTAAAATGTAAAAATAATAATTATACAAAAACATACTTTGTTTTGTGCATTTCGTTCAAGTACATTTACAATTGTATGTATGTGTTATGCGTAACTCATGAAATCTATGTTTCATTAGGTTTCCTAAACCGAAAATTAGTGCACACGTTATTGATCATTTCGTTTGTTAACACCATAGTAACCGTGCTTTAATGTTGTATAGGCTGATCTAAGCCGATACTATATTTGCATAGCAACGAAATTATAACATAGTTAATTCAGTGAAGTATTCAAGCTTGCGACGTTTTGTTGATCCAACAAAATTGGTAGAATTTACATTACGTTATTTTAAATATTTATTCTTATAAACTTATGGATAATTTTGTTACAAATTATGTACACATTAAACTTATTTTTAACACACATTAAGTGTTATATAAGAATTATACCCAACAAACAGAAAACGTAACTGATCATTTATATGAAAAATCTCAAGACAAGCATGCTTTATAATTCATAGAAATTTTCCCACTCCCATGTTAAATGCAGAAGATTGGAAAATGGATACAGCTATATAAAACTAATTGTACATCAACTGTAAAATGAGTACACACCAAAAAAAAAATGTCTTAGCTATAATCAGGGAATTCGGGATCATGCCAGAAAGGTGAACTTCAGAATGGAAATTATTGGCAACCCAGTTAACTGTGGGCAGCATTTGTACCCACATCAAATCATTTGGACGAAGTGAGATTTGGTACGGACAGAGGCCTAATAGGGATGCCGTCTTTGGAAACTAAATAATCCACCCATCATTTTCACAGTAATACCGCATGACACCTCTGGTCATACAAAGGCGCATGGAACATTACAGACATGGGGCTGATACGTGATGGATGCCTCTTCACGTATGTTTTTTGTTTGTTTTTGAATTTCGCGCAAAGCTACACGAGGGCTATCTGCACTAGCCGTCCCTAATTTAACAGTGTAAGACTAGAGGGAAGGCAGCTAGTCATCACCACCCACCGCCAACTTTTGGGCTACTCTTTTACCAACGAATAGTGGGATTGACCGTCACATTATAACGTCCCCACGGCTGAAAGGGCGAGCATGTTTGGTGGGACAGAGATTCGAACCCGCGACTCTCAGATTGCGAGTCAAGCGCCCTAACCACCTGGCCATGCCGGGCCCTTCACGTATGATTCAGAACTACAGAGAACAAGATAGATGGAGAGCTACGAAACGGATACCATTCAAGCACCAAGTCTACATGTGCACTAACATTCAGCAATAAGCGTACCTGATGAGACTGCAATGTACTGGGCCCATAAATGGCATGTTTTAATTGTTGTATAATGAGAGTACATCCGAACAAACAAAAGGTGATCAGCCTGTTTCCCACCCATCTGGAATAATGGTTTGTCTATTATGCATCCGTTACTTTTTGGGTAGTCTGTATATCACTGTAGGTGAGTGTCCTATTCTTTTGATTTTGATGGGAAGGCTCTACAACTTGGTACGTTTCTCCTATATGCCTATTTGGTTGATTCCAGAATGGGGATCTAATGGTTTTACCACTCCAAGGTCACATTTGGGGCATTTAACATAATTGACCCTCTGCTTCTATTTATCTGGCAGACACCCATCGTTATCTGCCCAGCAATTATGTGTGTGCTACGTTAGTAATGGGAATCAACACCTCTCAACCTGTTTTACTCAGAGGTGCCATGCTGTTACATGTGTGGTGCTCTTCTAGAAATGATTTGGTAGTCTTATATATCCACAAAAAAAACATTCATTTGTTCAGATATCTGCAGTTGACTGTGCATTTTCTGTTTTAAAATCTTTCTAATGATGACGTGAATTTACAAAGTTAACGTATTTTTGAACTAAGCCTCATTAGCCTTTAAATAATTTTATTGTTTGCTGTAAAAAATCATTGATTTTCCGTGATTTTACGTTTTAAGTAGATAAATACATATTACGATTGAGAATTACAGTTAGAGAACTTTCTTTAAAAGCTATCGGCACTATCTGCTCAGTGCTTGTAGTGAATAGCTTCTTTATATAACATGTTTCTTTCTAAACAACGTATAAAATCTTTCATTCAATAAAAATTACGTTCATCACTTGGCTAGTTACAGAAATTTTAATATCAAAAATGTTTTGTTACCAGAATGAAATAAATTTGCTACATAAAATATATACCACAGTGATCCAAAGGTTGTAGAAAACAAATATCAGAATTTGTAACGTTAGAGCAATATTAAGCAAAATAACGTTATAAAAGCGTGTCTGAAATGCAAATATCTGGTCACACACCTTTTGTTATATATATACATATATACAATGGTTTACAATTTTGTTTCAGTTGTTACTGAAGTACCATATTGTGTACAGTGCTCTAGATTGTTCATGGACTAAGGTTAGGCCTTAAAAACGTTATCTGGAGAATTCACTAATGTAGAGTACCATCGATGAATAAAAGCCCGCCAATCACAGCAGGCATTACAAGTTGGCTAAAAATGTTAACATCAGAATGTGGACCATTTCGAACAAATAGTACGGTTGTGCTTACACACGAACAAGGTGGACCATCATCCACAATATAAACAGATGACAGTTACCTATTGAATATGGCTTGCTACAATCTTAGAGCTCTTACTCTGTGATTATAAATCGCAGCTGAAACCAGACCTCATTTCAATTTACAGACAGTTCAAAAAACACTTCACAAAGCCTATTTACCTGAAAGTCTAATAAGGTGCATTTCGCTTACAGCAAAGCACAAAAATCGTCGCAGTGGTGTCAAGAATACCTTCAGTGTACAAATAATATGGAAGGGAGCAGTTTTTGTTTTTATAGACAGATAACAACTGTACCCTTGTTTTGGAGAGAGCTTGTCGCCAGATTAGATAGGAACGTGTTGCATATGATTGTGGTGGAAGTATGCTGTGAGTAGAAGCAAACATTAGTATATATATATATCGACTTCAACATCTCATGGAATAGTAACATTCGTTCATTATAAATACTAACCACATCCTACGATTTTTTTGCCAGGTATTATGCACATGGTCTCAATTTCAATGTGATAGATAACACCTACCCTTTTTTTTGAAGAAAAATGGATTGTCCAAAAAGAATGGTTTTCATGCTTACTGGATTTCAATTACATCAAACGTGTATGGATTTCCCTTGGAAGATGCATTGCGCCCAGTCAAGTTAACACCAGATACTAAAGCTGCTTTGGAAAGACATCTTTTGGAGGAGTGGTCTAAGATACCTCGAGACCTTATCAATACCCTGATTTTACACATGCAACATTAGAGCCAGGCTAGAAAGCAGGTAGAAACACCAGTAGTAATAATGACACCAGTATTAATGCACTGTTGGACAAAATATCACATAGACTAAAACAGCAGAATTATATATTTTTGATTTTTACATAATAATTTCTTCCCACTTTGCGTTACTTCTCTCTGTATCCGGATAACGCCATGCTGCCTGATGCTCATATTGAAGTGAAATGTCAAACTATAAATATGGTAAAGTAATTTCAACCTACTTACCATTTACGAACATTGAATGGATGAACACTGTGTTGCATTTTATATCACTACAGTACATACATCTTTTAAAAGTCGGAAAGTGGCGAGTTGAAACAAGACAAATAAGTACTCTAGAGATTATTCAGTAGATCTAATGTTATTGCAATTAATAAACATTTAGTGCTGTTAACAATTTTATTTTAAATTGTATTTCAAAACCTTTTCAGTGCATCTAAAAATTAATGAAGAAAATTTTCAATCCTATATAATCCTAAGCTTAAATTATCTTATTTCTGTACTTCACAATTTCGTTAATGACGCCATAATCAAAAATTTATATTGCGTCTACGTCTATTGTACTGATTACAATTGCTGTTGCAACTAAGGAATGTGTGATAATTTTATTTTAATACTTTACATATATACACTTTATTTTATTTCAAATAAAATATATATTATAATCAATCAAAAGTTTATGGGATCAGATAGGTATCGTGCAGTCGTCGTAACAATTTAACGTGCTGCACGTCTCATGCAAAAGCATGAACAGACAACTCGTCATTTCCCATTGAACCAATGAAGGATCAAGTTTCTGGCATAGAAGTGAGATTAAGTAAGGTGGAGTATTTTATCACGTGAACGGTGTTTTTGACATATTTCCTCACTTACTTTTAAAGTTTTTAATTCTATGCCACTATTATTCAAACCAGGAAATCTAAAATTATTAAGTTTTTAGTCTTATTATTACAACTTTGAAAA